TTCTGGCCATTTCGCGGTATTTCAAGCCATTTCGATTGATGGAGAAAATCCATTGCTATCCTATTCCCAATCGCAGCTCGACAGGCACATCATCTGCTTGATATGTGGCTAAAGTGGCGCGACGACTGCTGTTGCTGCTGCTGTTGCTGCTGCTGTGGCGTCTCCTTTGCAGGCAACAACAACTTTCACAAAACTTTTGCCCAGTTGCCGAGTGAGATTTTGCTAGTGCGCCTGTCGCCCCAGTGCGAACCGATTGGCAATTCTTATTACAGAATCAGGTGCAACTTTTGCTTTTGCATGGCAGGCCTCGGCGCGTTGTTGTTTATGTCACTGAACCGACGCAACGGCAACGGCAACGGCAACGGCAACAGCAACGGCAACTGGGCCGCACGTTCGGTTGACAGTAAAAGTAAGCGAGAAAAGTGAACGCAATCGAAGTCGACCCACTTTGGCATAGTTTGACTCGGCCCCAAAAACATTCTCGCTGGCGACTTCAGGCAGCAGCCCCAGTGCCCCAACGGATGCTGCATGAAAACCAATCACATTGTCTTCCTCGTTTTTCTTCCTCTTTCGTTTCTTAAACGCATTGCGAACGCAGCTGGGGGCCAGCAATTTTTTGGGAAAATCTCGTATGGTCGGCTTGTGAAATAAAACGAAAATAAAATCGGGTGGCCCAAAGCCAGCGGCTAGTGTCGTATGTTAGTCGTAGAAATTAAATACGAAGACCGGTCACCGGCTCGCATTCAATAATAAAGTCCATTCAAACACAAAACCAACGACTGCAACATACTCTGTTCGTAGTATGTGGAAATAATCGTCATCTTAACTTTATTTTATTTTGGCAACACTAAACAGTTTTATGATCTCTTAAAATAAAGTGCTTTATTTTTCTAGAATATATATCATATTAGAAAGTTAGAAATCACTATACAAAAATGTATACAAAACACTACTCAACTTAAAATATAAAAATTAAAAATTTTATGAAAAAGTAAAGATCTAAATAAGTCTGGAAAATGTTAGTTCATTGCAAACATATTTATTTCTTTATAAAGGATACTTTATTTTAAATTAATTTACGGTGTACAAAAGTGTTGTGTTTTACATTTTTTACAATATATTTTGTACAATGGTATAGGGAGGGTAAAGGGGGGTATACAAATACAAAACTCGTATATAGACCCATATATACCCCAATCCCACTGATTGAACAGTGTATAGAAATAAAGATTTGTACAAACAAAATCGTGCCTCAAACGAGCAATTGGCGTGACTTAATGATGCATAAATCAAAGCGGGGCCACTGCAGATTGGGCAGCTGCCCCAATGCCGATTGGGGCATGTGCCGCACGCAGTTGGGGCATCTGCAACCAGCTGCCGAGTGCCAGATAAGTCGCGCAAAGTGGACAAAAACATTTATGCGGCTTTAATTGCGTGCRCTGCAGTTGCCAATGCCAATGCCAATGAAAGTAAGTTGCCTCGAGACATCGAGAAAAGTAAAAGAAGACTCAAGGAAAACTGATAAAGCGGCCAACCAGAATTTCCAGCTAAGCGCAATCCTTTTAAGGCAACCAGATCTCAAATTCTCCTTTTTCTTCTCTTTTTTTTTTGCCATTTGTTTTCTTCATTTCAGCTTTTAGCTGCAATGCATTTCACTTTTTTCACATTAGCAAATAAACATTGCCAATTTCACAATCTCTCACTCGGCGGCGCATTAGGTGAAATAAAGGTAAGGCAGGTAAACAAATTGATGAGAGTTATGTGGAAATAAAATCAATAAATAAAACTGGTTTATAAACATMAACATGGGGCGAACCAATTTAAAATCAATTTAAGACAAAAGAAAAACAACTAAATAGGAATTTCCACTCAATAACTAATAAAAAACAAGTAAGAACGTTGCAGTCGGGCGTTACCGACTGCGGAATACTCATTCACATCCCATCAACAATTTAGTAGTTAAGTTTCGTTCTAATACTGTAGAATATACAGGTTTTTCCGATTTGCCACGCCCCTAGTGGGCGGATCGGGAAAATTTTAACACTTTATAAATCGGAGATATACACGAGTATGTGTTCCAAATTTCAAGTCTCTAGCTTCAATAGCGCCGAAATAGATTGCGTTCATACGGACAGACGGACAGACGGACGGACGGACAGACGGACAGACGGACGGACAGCAAGACGGACATTGCACAAAACCAATATACTGATTCACTTTCGTGAATGAGTATAAAAAAAATTTGAATTATCCATAGTGTATAGTGAATTATAAATATTACTGTAAAGCAATAAACAAACAATTAATGTCTAACACATACAAAGTGTCTTAACGAGCTTATCACACGGTTGATATACATACATACATATGTAAATATATTGATATATACATGCATTTATACGTACTTTGCATTACACCAGAACCTGTGAAATATTATCAGCCAGCAATTTCGTATTTAAGAGCTTTTTCATTTGTTGCTCCCTCAGTTCGAGTTTACTCGTTGTAACGCTTATAGCACAGAGGGAAAAAAATCCTATTAAGTTCAAACATGTTTTGTTCGAGGGAAAACACTGCACACCCTGGGCCGATGGGCCATCATTGCCATGGAGAGACACCTGCTCCATCCTGGTGGTCACATCATCATTATGGACACCACCACCACCCGGCCTACTTCAGTGGTTACGTATGGGACCGTCAACATGGACATTGCCACAGTCATCATCATTTCCATAGATCAAAATGTTTTTTTCGTGACTCTAGAAAGAAAATTGTGCAGGAGGAGCCCAAGCAGATGTTTGACTACAGTGAAAACTACAATTAGACATACAATATGTTTTTCATTAATTTATTTATTATTCAAGTGGTTTTGGCTTTAAGTTCAAATTCATCTATCTAAAGAACATGTGCATATATAAATGTATATACAAAAATACATATATAAAAACTAAAAGCATTGCAATTCGTTTCTAATTAGAGGCGCCAAAGTGAGATAGCAGCAACGTATCGATATATCGATATAAGCATTTGGCATTTTTTAATAAATTATCAGAGTAAAATACTAAAATGCCTGGAAAATAAACAAAATGTACAAACTGAACATTTATTTTTCGCTATGGATTTGCATTTAATTTAACAAATTCAACTTGAGTATTCATATTATAGATATATTTGTGTTTAATTGAAATGGCTCTTCACTAATAATACCAGAGCACATAAATATAGAGCACAATCAGCACAAAGAGTAGATGTATGAGAAACAATTCGATGGCCAACGTGAACAAAGCCAGCGGATTAACAGGCGAAAATGTAATCAGAGCAAACATGTTGCAGCAGCTTGGGATTCACGCTCGCAGCGGGATAGAAGCTTTACTCCTGCACGGTGAATGTTAACTGTTTGTTGCGGGAGCTCTCGAATCGATTCGGCGTGTGAATGCTGAGCATCGCCGTGATGCCCAACGAGAGGATGCCCAGCAGGAAGGCGGTCACGAGCAGGCCAGCCAAAATAGGTGATGTGATGAAGCCAACGCAGTCATAGACATCGCCGAACTCTTTGCGTCCGTTAAGCCAGGGCTGCACTTGGTAGTCGGACAGCACCAGGTTCATCTGAGTCTCGTTGGTGTTTCTGTTGGAGAAGAGCAGCTCCTCGGAGGAGCAGCGGAAGGAGAACCCAAGCGGCGCCGATGGCAGCGTATACTCATTGCCAATGGCCGGCAGCACAGCCTTGTAGTCCCTGTACTCCACCTCGACGTTGCGCATATGCCAGGTGCCACGCAGCAGCGAGAACTTGAAGCGCAGCGTGCACTTCTCGCTGTTGTACATGAAGGTGATGCTCAGGCGACCGTAGCCCTTGGCGCGCTGATCATCGAAGGTGATGTGCTTGTTGTGCTCCTCCAGCAGCAGTGTCTCGTTGCTCAGGCGCAGCTCGGGCGGCCCGGTCAAGATCAGCACAGCCTTGTTGCCCTCGGCTATGTAAACTTGGGTCACTTCAGTCTCAATGAGCGTGGACTGTGTGGTTGTGGCACGATTGGTGTCCTCCTCCTTCGCCTCGTCCTTGGCTTCACGCTTGGCCAGATAATGAGCCTCTTCCTCGCGACTGGCTAAAATGCCTAACACCTCACCAGGGCCATAGATGGTTAGAGCATCATTGTAGCCCGTCAGCAGCTCAGCGTCGTCCTCTTCACTCTGTCCGCTTAGGTTGATGACCTGCGCAAAGGAGGCATGCTCTACATAGATGTCATACAACTTATGCATAGATACACACCTCAATGTTGGCGTTGTAGCTGTAGGGCTCCACGGGCAGGTTGCGCTGCGGCAGATATGTCCACGCGTTGTTCTTCACCAGATTTTCAAACTTGGGATACTTGGTGCCCTCCAGTCGGCTTGTGGAATTACGCACGAAAATTATTATTGCCTTGACATCTTTGAACAGTTGCGTCAGAGGCTGCTCCCTGCTACTGGCATCGACCAACGCTTGGGGTTGTAAATTGAATACCTTGTCGTGACCCCAAAACAGATACGGTCCACTTATGGCTGCACTGCAGCCGAGCGCCAGACTTATGAGTACCCCAACTGCAATTAGCTGCATTATTTGATCTTAACTCCTGCAAAGCTGACAACACGTTCGACTACACTTTGCCCCCAAAACTGACTAAGAAAACTCTTGAGCGAAAAAATCGATGAGTCTGGTTTGGGCGAGGCGCAGGCGCAGAAAATGTTTTCAATTCACTCTTTGGGGGTTGCTGTCTGAATGGGGTTGGCTGTATCCTAGATGGTGGTTCACAATGGCAGCAACTTGTTGATATTTGTAAGACTCTTCTGTTAAGGGATCTCTTTTAGATGTCAGATCTCTTGCTAAGGTATTTAATGTAAAAGAGAGACCATGGAATGTATCTACTAGAAGTAAAGTCTTAGTTACTTATATCTTAAGAAAGGAATACTATATAAGCAATACGGATAAGTCAGCTGTTTTAAGAGCAGAAGGCTAAGCATTGGTCTCTGTTTCATAAAATTTCCAAAAATATTTTTATTGTCTTTAGGCTTAAAGTACAAAGAGTATTTACAAAAGTTGGAGAACTAAACTGATGACTGTCACAGCTAATACATAAAACTTTGGCTGGGTTGCTGCTAAACTAGATGAGAAGCTGCCCTTAAAGGTTTTGGTACCTATAAGACACACACACAGAGAGAGAGAAAGGTATATCAATTATCATATATTTAATCGATTCACAATATATACTCACGCTTCTCATTGATATCCCTTACACCACAGGTGCGATAGGAGATGGTCGCCTTGCGCTTGGTATTGACGTAGCCCGGTATGTAGAGACTCGGAGCATCGAGTCGACCGGCGGCTATCAGACGCGACATATCCAACTCGAGGCGGTGTGCCAGAGGCCCCTTGAAGTGTATGATCATCTGTATGCAGGCGCCGCCATGCAGCTCTTTTGTGCGCCGCGCATCCACATCCAGCATCCACTCCGGAATGCCCATCACCGAACGCAGCTCCTCCAGAAATTGTGCTCTGCGATTGAAGCATATTTCACTCAAGCAATGCATAAACTAAGGGAATGATTGCACTTACACAACGAAACGTGGCGGCTTTTGCAGATTGATGTACTTGATGACATTGTGATCAGGCTCGATGTTGGCGCAGGCGAAACGCTCGTGCGAATGATCCGGTCCAAAGATCACAAGCGAACGGCCAATGGCACCAACGGGCGCTTCCAGTGGGAAATTGGAATCGGTCAGCACCACGCGCTCGCCACCCAAATCTAATGAGAGATGGAATAGGAGATAATAACTATGATAAGAGACCTGAAGCTACTTACCTATCGTACCCAAGCGGGCACCCACATCGCCCACATAGCACCGCAGCGGATTGTCCGGTCCGCACTCCTGCTCATACAAATCGAGCTGAGGGCAAAGCATGAGTTAATCTCTAATCATTTCTATTATAAATTCACATTCACCCACATTCAAGGGATCGGCCAGCTGTGTGTAGAAGGGATTCCAGACATAGCCACCAGCGACGCAACGTGTTGCGGTTGGCTTGACGGCCGCATCAACGCCCACCGGATTGACAAAGATCTGCCAGTTGTGATTGCGTGTGGTGTTGCGATCGTTTTTGCCCGGATGACGCAGCTTGACCTCAATCACGGTCTCCGATTGGCTGCCATCGTTGTGAATGAGCTGCGTCATCTTGACGTAGCCATAGGCATAGCCGGTGGGATGATGGAATGAGGCGATGGCGCGCAGCTCACGCGCTTCACTTGGACTGTAGCCGCGTTCCAGGGTGCTGCAAGCCCAGCGAGCGTTCTTCTGTTGCTTGTGGATGACCACGGAACGGCCAATGATGCTGGTGTAGCCGAACAGCGGGAGATAGGTGTCATTGTAGGCGTCCTCGTACTGAGTGAGTCCATTGAGTCGTCCAAACTTGCCGCTCAGGTCGCCCATCTCATACTGATCGCTGGTGCCCTGCTTGGGCGGTGGCGAGGACTTTGGATTGACTCCGAAGGGATTCCAGTGGCCGTACAGAGTAGAAGCCTCGCAGGGGAAGGCCAGGTTGGCCTCGACGGGTGTCTGCAAGGTATGAAATGCTAAGAAACTTGAGGCTAAGCTAATGCAGCTGATGTCCCACCATGTGTATGTGATAGCCGCTATTGTCCTGCAGTCCTTTGAGCTGCACCTCCACGTTGCTGATGTCGTACTCGGACTGCTGCGTTATTTCCAGCTTGCCGGCAACCGTGAGCGCATCCCCGTTGGCATACCAATCCTTGGCCACCACCTTGCGACGGTAGTGTCCGATCAGACTGGAGCAGGCTAGGCGCTCGCCTCGCGCCTTTGGCCCATGGTCGTCGTAGATGACCAGTGATTTGCCCAGTATGCTGTGGCTGCCCGACAGCGGCAGATTGCCATCGATGAACATGCGACGGCTCAGCTGGCGCGCGCTGCGTTTACCTCCAGCTATTGTCAGCTTACCCAGACGTGTGTCCAGGGCACCCATACGGCACATGGCGGGCCGCTGCGGTTGGCAGAAGTCGTCAACGCTGCGATTGCCCCAGTCCACCTTGAATGGATTGAAGACAGCGCCAGTCGAGACGCAACGCTGCTGCCAGTCATAGAAGTCCTTGCCCGGCGGATTGCTGTGGATCGCCCAGCGATGTTCGTAGCTGCTGTTCTGCGAGGAGCCATCCGCCTGTATCAGATACTCAAAGAGCACTGTCGTATCCTGCCAGGGCTGCTCGGCGGCCTGACGTAATATGACGCGACCGACTATAGGATAGCGGAAGAGTACCTAAAAAGAATAATGTGAAATATAGATGGAGGAAATCTAAGAGAGAGACGGTCTTACCTGAGCCGTAAACATGGGCTGCTGGTAGATGCCATTCCGCTGGTATTGATTCAACGGAGAGCAGCCCCATATATTCTTGGTTATGTTATGAATATCGTTGCGGTTATAGGTGTAGATGACTAGACTGCGATGGGCGATGCTGTGACGACCCTGCAGAGGCAGATAGAGATCCCAGTAGAGGCCGCTCAGCTCGGAGCTAGTGCCGGGCAGGACGTACTGATGGAAGTACTGCTTGTTGCGCCCCTGCAGCTTGCCGCTGAGATCGCCAAGGGCGTATTGCTCCTGGGTGCCATAGCCGGGTGGCGGCGCATGCTCCAGGTTCACCTCCAGAGGATTGAATAGCTCGCCCGTCGTCTCGCAGTAGTCCGGCTGCCCGATTCTTTGCGGCGCGGGCGGAAGACTGTGAATGCGAAAGGCGGCCACATCTGCGGCAAACTTGCGACTCACGTGCGGAGCATGCGGAGTGGACAAAGTGAAGTTGAGGAAGGTGGGATCGAACTTGGAGCGCTGGCTAAAGGTGACCTCGCCCTTAACACCGCCAGAGTTGATGAAGGTCCTGGCAAGCAAATCGGAAAATTCAGTTAGCAAATCAAATTTAACTAAGACTCAACTCACTTATAGGTCAGCGTTTGCACGTGCCGTATCTTGGTGCAGGCCAGATAGTTGTCCGGATGCTGATTGTCGTAGAGCATCAAGTAGAGCGTGCGATGCGGTATGGTCAGATCTGAGGGCAGCAGCGCCAGCTGTGCATCCCGAAAGACGCTGCGCTGCGGCTGACGCAAGGCATTCTTGGCCACATTGATTCTGCCTAGACGCGCATCCAAGTCGCCAATGCCGTGACCCGGCCCCTGACCCTGCGGGTCGAACACCAGCTGCAGGAAATTGCAATTGTCCTCGCTGCGATGGTGATCGTGCTTGAAGATGTCCGTCACAAAGATCTTCCAGTGATGCTGTGTGAACGGATGCTTGTCCTCCGGCTGTTCCTGTATGTGATACAGATCCGAGTAGATCAGCGTATCGCCGCTGGCGCCATCTGTCGGCGCCAGCCAGCGAAAGTAGACAGAGCCCGCAATGGGCGTATTGAAGCGCGCCTCCGCCATGTGCTCCATGGAGTTCTGCACCGTGGTTATCGTGGCGCAAATTCGTGCATTCGAATTGATTTCCGTCAGCACCAGCGACTTGCCCCAAATGCCCCGATCTCCGATCAGCTGCATCTTGTGCTCCCATCGAGCCGTCTCATTGCCCGGCAGCACCAGATAATCCAGTTCCTCATCGAAGCTGAGCACCTGGGCGCCCAGACGCTCCAGCTGACAGCGCTCGTCGGCCTCTATGTTCGCGTAGTCCACGGGAAAGCGCCGCACGGCCCAGCTCCAAACCTGTTCGGGATACTGTAACGTCGCCTCCAGACTGGCTTGGATCTCCACCAGCTCGGGGCTGCTCTGCCGAAACGTGATCTCTCCGTGCAGTCCATGCTGCGAGATGTAGGCAATTAGATGCTGTGCCTCAGCTGGTTACGAAGCAGAAAAACAAAACAAAATTCATATGGATGCGTCAAGAAAAAAAACCTGTGCTAATCAAACGCGTTTTTGCAGAGCTATGTATATACCCTGCAATTAATGCGGACTTTCGGTATACTCGAATTTCGTTTACTTATGAAAGAGTAATAAAATATGTTTAAGTGTGAGCTAAAATATCGTATTTTGCTAAAGAGTTACATATATACATATGTTTCCAAATTACATATAAAAATCGATAAATATCGATATAATACAAGTCTGGCGATAAATGCCAATGTCTCGCAAGAGTTTTAAGAGATCGAAAACCACCTAGACTCCAAACATACTGCATTGAGGCTCATAGAAATTAGTTCACCACAGCAAATTCACCATAGTATAGGGTATTGCCTGATCAATCACATACAATTAGAGCACTTTTCTTACTTTCATTTTCGCTTACGTGCAACTTGCACTGGAATCTCAGTCAATTTTCTTGCAGTGCATTTGCATACAATGCGTGGGAATCGAAGGTGATTGGACAAGGCTGTTCCGCATGTCTTGTAATGCCTTGTCATATATGTACATATCTATATACACACATACATATACACATATATTTTTAGAGCTGTATGCATACTTACCGCCGCTTTGTGTTGCAATTCCATGGGCCAAAATGACGCATAAAAGCTGGGTTATTGAGCCCACTCGTTGGCTGCCATGCGGCATGTTCTTGGACTGCTTTCCTGGGACACCTTTTTGACTATTTCTTAAAAGAGACTAAAAAGACTACAAGCAATTGCTAAATAGTTGTTTTTACTGTTGCGCTGGACACTTTCATAACTCAAGGCGCATGCGTGCGCACTGAAGGGGCTAAGCAAAAACCGCACACGTCGCAATTCAACAGAAAACTGGTCGAAAACAACACGTTTGTTGGCTTAAACCATTTTTGTTTTCGGCCCAACTGTGTTGAGTTTGACTTTTGAGTTTGTTTACGCGTCTCGCTTTGAGCTTGACTTTCGTTTGAGACTATGTTTTGCTCTGCTCAGCTCAACTACGAACCGGCTGCAATCAGCTGTTGCCGCTCTTATACAAGACTTATACTTGACGAAAGCGAGGCGAACCAAACGAAATGAATGAAAATATTATGCAAGTATAAGACGAAACGCTTTTACCTTCGTGCAGCTAGGAGATTGTTGTGTGCATTTGACTCTTATATTTCAATTATTTTTGTATTTCCTTTACATATATTAGCATAGATGTTGTTATACTTCGCTCAACATATGCTGTTCTTATATAGTACTTATACCATCGTATACATATGTATGTATGTATAAGAACAATATTTGTCTTACTATGCAGTCCACTATTTAATTTACTCTTATACTACTTAATATTGTGTTGACTTATAAAACACAGCTGTCAACTGTCTGCAACCAGCTTTTGCTGCTCTTATACAAGCCTTATATTAAATACTTATCGAGCTTCGACGAGTTAGCTTCGTGTAGCTTGTCTTATATGCACATGAAAGAGTGCTGCATTTCTTTCAGTCTTATACAGTTCGCTTGCTTAACAGTGCAATGCGCAAATTATTACCGCTAAATCTAGCCATTTTATAAATATAGACAGATTTTTGTGTGAAATTTCTCTTTATTATAATAATTATTAATTATTAAAATAAATAAAATATGTTTTCCGACCCACATGCAAATAAAACTCAATTTTATTTCTCTTTTTAGGACGACTCGCTATTCGCTTTATTCCATAAAAGTCATCATCATCATCATTGTTATATAAAAACAGTTCTCAATTTTATTTTTATTTTTTTTGTTAATATTTCTGACCGGGTTAAAAAAGTTTTTGTTATTATATTTCTTTGTTTTTTTTTTTTCAAAATTTTTTTGTTGAGATTTTTTGTTTGCCATATAACTTAAGTTTATACTGAAGTAAAGATTTTCGCACTTAACAACTTGTTGAATATATTTTGTTTATAGATTGTTTTGTGTTCTTGTTGTTGTTGTATTAGTACATAGGTGTGTTGAATGAGACCTTATAGTACTTAGGATTGTGTATTGCTTATGACATCTGTGTCATCTACTTATGTTCTTTTGCCTATTTCCTTGTTTTATTTTCTTTTTTCCACTTCTCTGGTACTGATGCACCCGGCAATGCCTAGGAGGCTCATTGCTGTGGCCTCTGTCCTAGCGGGATTGGATGTGAGTTGGGTATCTTTTGCTCTCGAAAAATGTATGTAATATATAGTATACTATACTGGATATAGACGATTGATTGTCGCCATACATGCGCTTGTATAATCGGGTCAATGTGTATCGAATTCGTGTTCAAATTCGAGCACGCCCATTAAGTAAATCCTCATGTGGTATCATATGTGCATATATATATAGATCGTCGGGTCATATTTAGATCGACATTTATATAGATATGAATATAAATATTATTTATTCAGAAAACATGAAAACGTGAACTCTTCAAAAATTAAAGCAACTTTTGCATTTTAAAAACTTTTCGATACTTTTTTTTGTTCTATTCTGTGAACGCATAAACTTGAAAATTTGTTTTTCTTTTTCTTAGTGCTTTCATTGGTTAAGTTATGTAAACTGGCATAAAATTAAGAAAGATTTAGAAAAAGGAAAAACAATTCGAGTGAATGAAATAGAAAATGTTTCGTTCTTTTCATAAAGCTAACTCTCATATTTTCAAAATAAAAATTCATGTATATATATAGAGTATATAAATATTGTTTAACGAACGATAGAGATATATGCATATTATAATGTTATAGATATATATAGAAATATATATATATGTATATAGAATATTTGGCTCTCAGATGAAAGTAACCTAACGATAACGAATTGTATTGTCTCTCTCTCCTTAACCTGTAAAACAAACTAACAAACTAACAAATGTGGGCCAAGGCCTACAGAGAACTATATATATTCTCATGTATACAGATATATATGTATATTATGAAACATATACTCATACAAATATATAAAGATATATATAGATAGGATTAGCTACCCACTTGGCCTGCGCATCTTTTGCGTTTTTCTAGCTTTTTCCTTTCTCAAAACTTCTCTCAACGAACAGCAAATGAAAACATGTTTTTGTTGTTTTTAAATAAATAATATATAGATTTTGCAGTTATTTATAAATTTTACGTGTAAAATTTAATAATAAAATCATCAACTAGAAAACTAGCTGAAACAAGATGGCGCTTCGACAATTGGACTTTTAACTATCCCTAAAAATGAGGCGTGGTACTTGGTAGAAGAAGTTAAGAGTATTAATTTTGGTGTTTGTTCTTGTTCTTGTTGTTATTGTTGTTGTTTTAACAAAAAGAGATTGTATATATATAAATATATCTTTACATATGTAAAACGAGCATTTCTTTTAATTACGTTTATTATTTTTTTTCACGATTTTTAAAAGTTTTTTTAAGTTTTGTTGTTGTTGTTGTTGTTGGTTGTTGGTTGTAATATGGATGCTGAGTTAAGAGTTAGGATGTGTGTTTGTTGTGGGTCTGCTGCTGCTTAGGCGGCTTCCTCTTCCTCCTCATCACCCTTGCCGGTGAGCATTTCGATCAGGGACGCGGTATCGATTTGATTCTTGTCATCAATGACCATCTGATCGAAGGCATCATCGACCTCCTTCATGGTGAATTTGTCACCGAAGCCCATGAGCATTTCGCGGAATTTATCACCATCGATGAGACCATCGTTATCGAATGTTTTGAAGGCAGCAATAACAACCTCGTCTTCATCGTTGGCACCAGAGGTGGCCATACGGTTGGCGAACAGGGTCAGCAATTGGGTGAAGTTAATTGGACCGGAGGCTTCGCCCAGCATAGCGTCCAACTCCTTGTCGTTGGCGATCTTGCCGACGGAATCGAAGGCAGCGCGCAAATCGTTCTTGCCAATAATACCGTCCTTGTCGGCATCCATAAGTTGGAAGGCCTGATTCGCAGCGCAGTGTAATGGAATTGGAGAGCGACCGACACGCAGAGCGAGCGAGACAGAGCGTGAGCGAGCGAGCGAGAGAGAGAGAGAGAGAAAGAGAAAGAGAGGTGGTTGGTGATTTGGTCTTGTTGATGGTATCATGGTATGCGACATGGCTAGGTAGGGATAGCTCAGGCATATATCTATTTTTTTTTTTTTTTTGTTCTTTTTTGGATTCATGTCTGAGTTGGGTCTCTAGCTAAATACTCACTTCCTTGAATTCGGCAATCTGCTTCTGGGAGAAGACAGAGAACACCGAGGAGCCGGCGCGCTTCGATTTCTTTGAGCCACGCGAGCCGCCCGACGCTCTCTTCGAACCAGTAGCAGAAGCTGGGGCAGGAGTGGCAGCTGGTGCGGGGGTTGCTGCCTCGGACACTGCCTCAGAAGCGGTTTCTGAAGTACCTCCCTCTTCCTTGGTCTTCTTCTTCTTAACCTTCTTCTTCTCATCCGCCTAAAAGTGGATAGAAGAATTAAAATATTTCCATTAGGCATTTCAGACATTTCAAAATTCTTAACATTTCGAAAATTTATTTCAAAACTTTCCGCCCGTTCTTCAATCTAAAAATACTCGGCGCGTATTACGTAAGCTCTTATAGGCTATATGCCTCTCGCTTTGACTAGATCATATTACTTTTCCGACCGATCCATTTATAGAATATCACGCGTGTGTGAGTGTGCGTAAAGTAAACTTTTCACACATATTAAAAATAGATTTTCTTTTTGCATTCTTTTTCCATTTGTGAACTATATTGAAATTGATGGACAAATATCCATAGGCAATCGTCACGATAATCCACATACGGGTGAGTCATTGAGGTCATTTAACGATTATGCACTTGCTTTACTTTAAATCATTTCAAAACTCAAACACTGCACAAGAAACTGATGTTTGGCTATAGATAGACAGATAGATCGCGAGTCCTTTGCTGGTGGTGCTAGGCGCCATATCCCGAGTCTCCTTACCATGGTGCTGAACTTTGTTGTGGTGTCTAATCGAGTCGAGCGGTCAGAGCACACTGAAACTGTGGCTGATTTTATCGTCCAGACAATGATGTTTTAAATTCTTTTTTCGGACCGTCTCTTCTTCTTACACTCAGAGCCGAACGCCGACCCGAGCGACCAAATCGGCTACTTCGGCAACGCCGAGCGGCCCGAATCGTTTCGTTTTGGCTTTCGCTATAGCCATTGCTATAGCCAGAGATCTGTATCTGTATCGTGCTGCCTTTTTTAGTATCTGCAAGGCGAGGTGCGCCCAGGCGCCGAGTGGGTTGCGGGTGGTGGCTGGTGGCTAGTAGCTGTTAGCTGGTGGCTCGGTGGTTCGGTGGTTCGAAATGTTTACTCATCGCGTCGCTGCTCTAATCAAAAATCTAATTTTAACGGTTGCTTCTCTGCCCGAATACACCCATATATATATATATATATAGAAATATATATATGTATGCATTGGGTATATATCAGTTTGTTGAATTTTGAAATTTATTTTCGTGTATTATGAACAGATATTTCTTCTCTATGCGTCGGCCTATTATTCGGGCTATATACATTCCCGATGGGCAACGCAAAACATGTTTTGTATTATTCATCTTTGCTCTTGGGGCATTTGTCGAAGGTGTCCTCTTGCTCTGAAATCACCTACATTTCCCCTGGCCCACTACGCATCCACATCCACATATATCGTATACATATTTGTATGTATGTATGTACATAGTTTAGATCGGCTATATACTCGATCTTCGCAACTTACCTTGTCTATTTTCAACGACCTGGCATTTCGTGTGTTTGCATATTGTGCAATATAAAAGAGAGAAACGCGCTGAGAATTCCAAACCCAAAGAACATTTCAATACTTTATTTCACGTCTCGTACATAACAAAGGAAACCTGATTTTTTTCAGCATAATCTTTGCTTTTCTTTCGCATATGAGTTTTCCATTTGTATTGCATAACATTTGAGATATATAAATTATGAAAAAGTTAAATGAACTTTACATATGATAATTATATTTGCTAAAATTAGTCCGGATAATGATTATTAGATCATTTGTTGTTTAATTTAATGAAAATTTAATTTGAAATTTTTGTATTATACTTATTGTGTATATCTCTTTTTATTATATATGAAAACAAATACTAATACGTTTAATTATTTATTAATATACATTTATATGAAAATATATGTATATAATAATCATATTAAACTGCTTCATAGAAAAAGCCCATAGGAACCTGAGCCTCATTTCTACTCAAGAACTCGAAATATTATTTATTTTTTGTTTTTCTTTAAATTATTTTTGCTTTTATTTCATATTGACATTTACTAAATATTAAATTTTTTTAACATTGTATCATTTTGTTTTGTTTTATATATTAAATA